CCCCCCCCCCCCCCCCCCCCCTGCAACTTGCTCGAAGCACGCTTCTCAAGCTCCTGCTGGTCAGCGTCTCCTTCCTCTGCTATCCTCGTAATTGCTCTGGCAATTCCTTGCTCCAGTGCCGGTCACGTTGCACAGCAGCTTCGAACAATCTGCTCTTCGCGAAGCCGAATTCCCCACCTGCCCCATAAAGCCCGCTCATCCCAACGCCACACGCCACGCTTCGACATGAAGTTCTCCCTCGCCGCTATCTTTGGTCTGGCCATGGTGGTCTCGCACGCTGTGCTGGGCGCGCCGATCCCGAGCCCCAAGCCTATCGAGGATATCCTGCCGTACCAGTTCCCGGACGCAGCCAACGGACAGATCATTGCATCGGGAGACAGCGCCTCGGCCATCCCCGCACTGCTGGCGGCCGGCTTCAACCCCAACGACAACTCGCGTCTCCACGGCAACTGAAGCCCTCGACGCCTGTAACGACCCAGCCCCCCCGCTGTACCATATACGCACATTGGTCCGGTCGTTGATGTGATCGGGCTCACGATTCCTCCGGCGATTTACGAACTTGTCCTGTTTTGCACCGTCCCCTGCTCCTCATGTCTGTCCAGTGGCTCGTTCGCATGTTTCTCTCGAGTGTTGTACGTGTTTCATGTTTTGGAAATGTTGTTGTTGCCAATCTCATGATGTGTTCAAACTTGTGTGTTATGAGCGCGTTGGTAGACCTTTTCGCCTGTGAGCCATGTCTGGAGGATCTTGGTACGGAGGATGGTTTGTTCCTTGTCTCCCTCTCCGTGCTCGCTGAACAGGTCCGTGTCGAGGACGACAAAGTCGGCGCTCTTTCCCTTCTCGAGCGTGCCGGACCACGATTCGGCCTTGCAGCTGTGGGCGGCACCGTACGTTGCAGCAGCGACGGCCATTGCCAGTGGCAGCGCGAATTGCGGCGTCGTCTTTTCGGTCATCTCGGGCTCGCGGCCCGATCGTCTCGTGACGGCAGTGTACAAGTTGGGCAGGATCCAGTGGTGGGCCGTCGGTGCGTCGGAGCCGAGCGCGATGGGTGCGCCGGACTCGACAAACTCTCGAAAGGCGAACGCCCTCGAGCATCGGCCCTCGTTGTACTTGTCGCCGAGGTTCTTGCACCAGCCCTCCATGATGCTCGGGTCGCAGTGCACGCCCTGGATGCTGGCGGTGATGCCGAGCCTGCCGAGCTTCTCCACGTCCTTGGGGTCGGTGAGCTCGAGATGCTCGATGCGATGGCGCCTGTCACGGATCGAGACACCCTTGGCTGCGAGTTGTTCACCCAGCGATGCGATGGCTTCCACAGCCGTGTGGACGGCAAGATCACCAATGGCGTGGATGGCCACCTGCAGATCGAGCGAGTCGGCACACTGGACCGTGGCCGAGAGCAGCGGAAGGGGCCACATGACCTCTGCGTTGGTCTTGTTGTAGTAGGGCTCCTTGAGCGCCGCCGTGCAGCTGTCGATGACGCCGTCGCAGACGAGTTTGATGCCGACTATACGGAACCACTCGTCGTTGTGCTGTTGGCTGAGTTCGTGGGCGTGGCGCACCTGCTTGAGGCACTCTTCCAGGTCGGATTCGGGGCGAACGAGCCAGTGCGCAGCCACGCGGATGGGCAGGCGACCGTTCATCTTCTTCTTGATGCGCAGGATGCAGTCGAGCGAGAGCGGATCGAGAGCCATGTCGATGCCACCCGTGAAGCCGCTCTGGTGGTAGGAATCGCACGCGCGGAGGAAGCTCGTCTCCTGCTCGGCCTTGGTTGCGAGGTTGGCGAGCTTGGGCCAGACAAAGAGGATGTTGGCCATTTCGAGCAGCAGGCCCGATGCTTTGCCTGTGGCTGGGTCGCGGACGATCTCGCCGCCTTCTGGATTGGGCGTGTCGTCGGTGATGCCGAGCTCGCGCAGTGCTGCGGTGTTGCACCAGTGCGAGTGGAGATCGAACGACTCGACGTAGACGGGCCGGTCAGGCACCACCTCGTCGAGCCAGGACGCGAGCGCTTTGCCGTCGGTCGAGTTCTGCATCCACACGCTTGCGAGGATGCGTGGCGCATCGGGCTTGGCTTCTGCCGCTGCTTTGATGGTCTGCTGGATCTGCGCGAGGTTCTTGCACTTGCCCACGTCGATCTTGTCGAGCGAGTTGCCAAAGTTGAGCAGGTGCGTGTGGCCGTCGATGAAGCCGGGCACCACGAGTTTGCCGCCGCCGAGGTCGATGCTCTCTGCGTTCTCGGCGAGCTTTGCGGGGAGGCTGGCAAGGCTGCCGACGTAGGCAAGCTTGCCGTCCTGCACTGCGATGCATTCTGCAAAGCGGTCCTTTATCGCCGAAGCGTCCGAGTAGTCCTGCTTGAGGAGAGAGGCAGGCGCGAGCTCTTCGGCTTGCGCTGTGAAGAAGAGGGCGTTCTTGAAGAGCTTGACTGTCATTGCGAGAAAGTCTTTCTGGTTGCAGCAGCGTAAAGGGGAAAGCGGTTCAGATAAGCTGGGTCATGTCTATATACCTGTGCTGGGTCGGAGGATGACACCAAGGCTGAGCGCTTTCCGCGCCTATCCCGCAGATGTGTGCCTATCTGTGATGCCCAGGCCGAACGAGAGCTCGTCAAGATGCGAGAGCAGGATTGCTAGCCGCGGGCGGAATGTCGCGCGAGCAAGCCAGGCTGGGCTTCAGGGTCCAAGATGAGCTCGTTAAGCGCCACGAAGGCTGGGAGGACGCTTCTTGGAGAGCGCCCGGGCCGCCCTCCTTGACAGCGGCAAGCGCGGCTAAGTTGTCGAGTGAGGCCGCGGAAAAAAGAAGATGTTAGCTGCACGGCCTAACAAAGGTAAAATCTCCGAAAAGAAGTCTGCAAGGACCTGCAAGGACGGGACTCCGGCACTACAGTAGACTGCACAGCCCAAGCCGGCTTGGCTGCAACACCAATTTAAGCGACATCGCCCCGGCCAGTGCCAAATTTGGAGCTTTTGAAGCAGACGTGGTCGGCTCAGCCCGCTCGGACCCCTATCGTGTTGCTAGTCATTCCTCCAGCCTCTCTTCCTCGCCCTCATCTCGTCGCCACCAACAACATCGATCCCTCCGTCGACCGAGCGAGGCAGGAGCCAACGCCCACTCCCACCACACTCTTTCTGACGTCCGTCCGTCGTCGCGCGAGACGCAGCAGCCCGACTGCAACATGGCTCCTCGAGACCACCAGCAGGTCCCCGAACTCTCGTATCTCCCCACCTATACCCAGACCAGGCCGCCTCCGGACGCTGGACCGCCGCCCGCATACGCCAATGTCATCCGCAAGGTCTACCCGTACTCGCTGCGCCCCGTGCTGCTCGTCACGACCTTCTGCACCTTCCTCTACCTCCTTCTCGTCGCCATCTCCAACTTTAAGGACCTCGGCCACTCGGGCAACAATGCCGTCATGAACATCATCGACGCCGTCACTGGCGCGCTCCTCCTGGCTGCCGCCCTCATCGAGGTTGTCGGCTTCATCGCTGCGTTCAAGCTTAACCTCAAGTTCGCCTTGCTCTACTCGCGCCTCGCCGTGCCGGCGTTCCTCATGGTGATCGCATGCGAGATCCTCAGCATCTTCGTCCACTACTCGTACAAGACGCGCGTCATCGACGACTGTATCACCAGGAATACCGGCGCCGTTGCTCCGGGCTCGTCCGGTTGGGGTTGGTTCGGTTCGGGCGGCTCCGGCAATACCACCATGTCGGCCGACGACGCCAAAAACTACTGCAATTCCTCGTGGAGGAACGACTCCACCTGGGAGATCGTCTGGCTTGTCGTCACCATCCTCCTCGGCATCCCTTTTGTCATGTTCAGCTTCGCCTTTGTGCGCCAGCTGCGCAATCCGGACTCGGTGCGCGTACGCGAGTCCGGCGGCGGCTGGTGGGGCCGTCGCACCAACAGCCAGCAGCCATACAGCGCCCAGTACGCCAACCAGTACGCCAGCGGACCGTACGACCCGCAGTCGCAAGCACAGGCCTACTCGTACCCTCCGGCTCCGTACGGTGCCAGCCCGTACGCGCCTCCGAGTGGGCCGCCGCCGCCGCCGCTCAGCACCGATGGTCACCGCGATCTGCCCGGATACGAGCGCGGCGACATGCAGGGCGACTTTGACGACGACCGCAAGAGCCCCATCAGCCCTGCCGCCGACTATGGCTACAACCGTCGCGCCTCGACAAGCAGAGAGCCCGACGCACGCGACGGGCGGCAGCTCGATGCGGCCAAAGACTCGCAAGTCACCGTCAAGCTCGACGACGACGCCGATGCCAAGCCCAAGGGGTTCAGCAGGCACTCGGATGACGACGATGCGCCCAGGATCTGATCTTGTAGCTCGAACGTGGTCGGCACGCTGCGAGCTTCTCCCTTCTTCTGTATCATGCTTCTGTCCTGTTTTGTATCGCACTTGCCACGTAACCCAAGTCGTTGTATCCACTCACACGTTTGTCTGCATTGCCTTTTGATTACGCTGCGACAGTTGGGATTGCAGGCCAGCGTTGCGCTCGAGTGATGAAGTGGGCATGCACGTCGAGCTCAGCCAGGCCGAGGTCACACGGTAGCTGCGGGTCGAGTCAAAGGTGGAGGAGTCAGGTTCGAGCGGGAAATTTCGCGCACGAGCATTCGAGGCTATTCGCGGCTTTGCATGGATTTGCTAAGACTCGACCCCACCCTTCGTCCCGCCATGCATCTATCTTGACTTTGCTCCAATCACTTGACCACAGTCCTGACGAGCACATTGATGCTGTCCATCACACGCACACGGGTCGCAACACTTCCACGAACCGTACCGATCTTTCAACGAGCTTTCACTCCACGCACCTTGTGCTTTAGCGTACGGGTGTCTTCCAACATGGATGCCAAGGTGTCGGGCGATGCGGCTGTTGCCATCACTTCGCACAACCAGTACAAAACCGCAGGCCTGGAGCGCGACGAGCTCTCGCCCAGTCCCATCGTCCAATTCAACACGTGGTTCAAGCATGCTGGTGAGAATGGCGTACCGGAACCGGAAGCCATGACGATCTCCACGGTCGATATGTCGTCGGGTGTTCCTCGGCCATCATCGCGAGTGGTGCTGCTGAAGCAAGTGGACGCGAAAGGATTCCTGTTCTTCTCCAACTACACGTCGCGCAAGGGTCGCGAGCTGGAAGCCAATCCGTATGCTTCATTGGCGTTTTACTGGAAGGAACTCTCAAGGTCCGTTCGCGTATGCGGCCGTGTGGAGAAACTAAGCAAGGAGGAGAGCAAGCAGTACTACGACTCGCGTCCCCTCGGCAGCAGAATCGGCGCATGGGCAAGTCCACAAAGCACATCCATCGAATCAAGGAAGGCCCTCGAGGACAAGGTCAAAGATGTCGAAAACAGGTTCGGCGTGCCTGGTGCCGCTGGTCTCGATCCAGAGTCAAAGTGGCAGGGCGACGATGTGGATGTGCCCCTGCCAGAGTTCTGGGGTGGATACCGCATTGTTCCGGACGAAGTCGAGTTCTGGTGCGGAAGACCAAACCGCCTCCACGACCGCTTCCGCTACACGCGCGACATCAAATCCACAGTTGCGGCAAGCGACGACAAGTGGACCATCAATCGGCTTGCGCCTTGAATTGACCTTGCTATACATGCACTCTGCACCGAAGCGATGAATCCGAACGCTACCACAGCAAGATGGGAGACATGTCTGAATCTCTTGTTGCAATCAAGAAGACGTGAGCGATTACTGTGCGACCTTGCCTACAATGTTGTAGCGCTTAGTGTAGTACGAGTGCTAAATGCACACGAGTCAAGCGAAAGATGGGGTCAGTGCGTGTGTCGTAAGCAGCGTGGTGGAGCTATACATACCCAGTCATCGAGCACCTTGAGCTGCTTGTCGTCGAGCGTGCTGTAGTCTGGCACCGCATCCTCGGGCTTGAGTGACGACATGCCGAGTCCGCGCGAGCCATCCTTGCCCGCAAAGACGTTGTAGCCCTTACCAGGTGCTGTTTCCCCACAAACCATCAGATCGGTCAGCACTGCGTCCCACAACGAGCGAGACAGGAAGAAACGGAAGTCGAACGTACCGTACATCTCGCGCTTGGGAGATACGTCGAACACTGTGCCCTTGACAGCGACGTAGACGGGCTTGGACTCGTCGGTGCCGTCGTACTGCTTCAGATCCTCGACCGAGATCGGGTCGTCCTTGGGAGGGCTGTGTGTGTCCAGTCCAGACGGTTCAGCCACTGCAGTTCCGCATGTTCGGTGTGGTAGGACGGCGGCAGTCACTCACTGGGTCGGCTTGGTCGAAGGCTCCATCATGCTGATCGGTCCTGATGAGTTTGAGATGCTGTCGTGATGTGGTGGCACGCGAGCAAGATCGGCGGGCAAGGCTGGCTGTGGCCCCAGCGCCCCGCACACCTTCTCCACCTTTGGTGGCGCCACCCAAAGTTGAACATTCACATTTGTTAGACCGCAACTGACATGCAGGCTGGCCGAGCGCCAAGACTCCACTGCATATCCGCGGAGGAAGGCCATGTTGGCTGTATGACGGAGTGTGTTCTTACATGAGGTCTGGGCATTGTTCTATGCATACAAGTTTGCGACGCTTCGATAGGGATCCAACCCACCGCGCTATCCGTGGACAAACACCTCCGCCGGAGACTTTCGCACTTCTTCCATATCCTTGTCCGCGGGGGTACCTTGCCCGTCGCGACCTGGTGTCGAGGTTTCGTGGCTGTTCTACCTCCGAACCAACTTCGCAAGGTATGGAGCAAAGCAGTCGGTGCGCGCCAATCATCTTCAGATAGAAGAGATATAAACAGAAGGCGGTGTGAGAAGCTTCGGTCCATCCCTCCTTCAACGCATCCTCCAAAAGCCTGCCCAAACATGGCATCAAGTTTGGCAGCCCAGGGCGGCCTGCGCGTGCTCGTGAGCGGCGCCGGCATTGCGGGTCCCACGCTCGCATGGTTCCTCGCCCGTTCCGGTGCCCGCGTCACCGTGCTCGAGCGAGCGTCGGATCTGCTGGCGCAAGGACAAAACATCGATCTGCGCGGCACGGCGCTCAACGTCGTGCACCAGATGGGCGTGCTCGACGCCATCCGTGCCTGCAACACCACCGAGAAAGGCACCGAGTTCGTCGACGACCGAGGCCGCCCCTTTGCGACATTTGCGCTCGGCGAAGGGGGCGGCGGCGCACTCACGACAGAGTACGAGATCCTGCGCGGCGACCTGGCGCACATCCTCTACAAGGCCGCAGAGTCTCAGCCCGGCGTAGACTTCCGATTCGGAACGACGATCGAGCGCGTCGTTGAGAACGGCGAAAGCGCGGTCCGCGTCGAGCTCAGCAGCGGGGAGGAGGTCGAGTACGACGTGCTCGTGCTGGCCGATGGACAGTGGTCCAAGATGCGCAAGCAAGTATTTGGCACCGAGGGGCTCGAGGTGGTGGACAAGAACTGCTACGTCGGCTACTACACCGTGCCGCGCACGTCCGAGGACGGCGAGATGAGCTGCATCCACATCGCGCCTCGCTCCCGTGTCGTCCTCACGAGACCGGACAATCACGGCACCACGCGCGCATCGTTCAGCATTGTCCCCAACGACGCTGCCCAGAAGGAGGCGTGGGAGCGCGCAAGTCGCAGCCGCGACCGCAAGCTTCAGATGGACCTGCTCCGGAGCGAGTTCGGCGACATCGGATGGAAGGCGCCCCGGCTCTTGCGAGAGATGGACGCCGCAGATGACCTGTACTTCCAGGGGGTCCAGCAGATCCGCCTGGCCAAGTGGTACAAGAATAGGGTGGTCTGCCTCGGAGACACGGCATACGCACCTACACCGCTGACGGGCATGGGCACCTCGCTCGCTATCGATGGCGCCTACCTCCTTGCCGGACACCTGTCGCAGCTGCAACCGGGCCAACATCCTGCCACGGCATTCCAGGCGTACGACGAACAGTTCCGCCCGTTCGTATCCAAGACACAGGCCATCCCTTTCTTCGTGCCTAGGATCCTGCACCCGCAAGCGGCTTGGTCGCGCTGGATCGTTCAGACCTTGATCGCAACTGCGGCTCGTGTGTCCCGCCTCTCGTGGATCACCAAGCTGTTTGCTACCAACAAGCCGACCACGCTCTCCGACGGTCTGGTCGCCGAGCTCGACGCTCCCTTCCCGAGCTTCCCTGCATTCCGGCGATCTTGATTCCCCCGCTCATAAGACGCATCTATAGACGTGCATACTAGACAAGGTAGTAGCAAAAGGAATGACGATAGAGCACGTACAGTACTCCGCGTAAGGACGCACGGCCACGAAGATGAGGTGAAGTGTGAACGTAAATCGGGCTCTTGGTTGCATCGGCGCGGCGCAGTCCAACGTCACTCGACAGGAGCCTTGGGTTTTGAGGCATTTTTTCGTGCGGAAGGTGATCGAAATTTTTCCCGCTCCACCGTACAGCTTCTGAGAGGGATTGATTTGCCTGTCCCACGCGAGCCCGACTCCACACCTGCTTTCTTCGCCATCAACGCCATCGACCGTCTCGACCCCTATACCGCTCCTCTGTCGATCCCTACACTCACTCTTTGCTGCACCACGGCCCCCGACCAGGCTTGGTGCCAACGCGATTGCATACTGGCACACTCGAGTGTCGCAACTCTCATCACCGCCCTTGCATACCCCAACCGCTGCCGGACTGATTCCGAGCCAACCTTGCCGCCACCATGACGACGGTGCAAAAGATCAAGGAGATCGAAGATGAGATGAACAAGACGCAAAAGAACAAGGCGACGTCCTACCATCTCGGTCAGCTGCGTGCCAAGCTGGCCAAGTTGAAACGCGAGCTCATCACGCCGTCGGGAGGCGGCGGCGGTGGGCCGGGTATTGGGTTCGATGTGGCCAAGACGGGTGTGGCGTCGGTGGGATTCGTAGGATTTCCCTCGGTGGGCAAGTCGACGCTCATGTCCGGGCTGACAGGAACGACGTCCGAAGCAGCAGCATACGAGTTCACCACGCTCACCTCGGTGCCCGGTACGATGAAGGTGCACGGTGCGCCGATCCAGATCATCGACTTGCCCGGTATCATCGAGGGCGCCAAGGACGGCAAAGGTCGTGGTCGCCAGGTTATCGCTGTGGCGCGCACGTGCAACCTGATCTTCATCGTGCTCGACGTGGGCAAGCCTTTGCGCGACAAGGCGATCATCGAAAACGAGCTGGAAGGCTTCGGGATCCGGCTGAACAAGAAGCCGCCCAACATTGTGGTGCGCAAGAAGGAGAAGGGCGGAATTGCCATCACCAACACGGTGGCGTTGACCAAGATCGACCACGACGAGATCAAGGCGGTGCTGTCCGAGTACCGCATCAGCAATGCCGACGTGTCGTTCCGCCAAGATGCGGGTATCGAGGAGCTCATCGACGTGATCGAGGGCAACCGCATCTACGTGCCCGCCATCTACGTGCTCAACAAGATCGACTCGATCAGCATCGAGGAGCTCGACCTGCTGTACAAGATCCCCAACTCGGTGCCCATCTCGTCGCAGCACTGGTGGAATGTGGACGACGAGCTGGTGGAAAAGATGTGGCAGGAGCTGTCGCTCGTGCGCGTCTACACCAAGCCACGCAAGGCGACACCGGACTACTCGTCGCCCGTCGTGCTCAAGACCGGAAGGTCGACCGTCGAGGACTTTTGCAACGCCATCCACAAGGAGATCATCAAGCAGTTCAAGTTTGCCATGGTCTGGGGCAAGTCTGCCAAGCACCCGAGGGGTCAGCGTGTAGGCGCCGACCACGTGCTCGAAGACGAAGACTGCGTCACCATCTTCAAGCGCTAGAGCCCCTACGCCTGATGCTATGCTGGGGGGAGGTGGCGTTCAAGTGCTGAACACCAACGTCTTCCCCGCGGCTCCACATTCGCACTCGAAAGCCTCTTTGCATCCAATTTGTACTTTTGTTCACCCTCCGCATTGTCACTCGTAATCGACTTGCATGGTTCGCTCAGCACATTCTTCCTCGCTTGCAGTCGTCGCGTTGGAACCATTTCGACGTCAATGTCAGATACGTACAAGGTAGTCATCTGTCACGATGAGCGCTTCTTGTTGTTCCTGATCGTACTCATCTCAATCAGCACGGATCTGCACAGACCGGGCACTCGGCAGGCACTCGGCACAAAGATCATCCAATGTTCCGATTGATGATGACTGGTCGCGGATATTTTCCCACCAGAAATTTAGGGCTTGGGCAGATACTTGAGAGTAGCGGGGCATGTCGATTTAGTAGTCGACTCGGTAGCCTCGTAATGACCGAAGTTAACTGAGCCTCGCACAAGATTGAAGAACCAAAACTCGTTCATCTCGCCCTTCTTGTTGCAGCCTACGAAAGGTGTAGCGCCATGAGCCTGCTTGAGGGCGGCCTGAACATCGGCGAGTTCGTAGGTCTTGTTAGCGTCCGGGACGATTCCGGCGGCCTTGAGGATGTCATACGTGGGGAGTTCGGCGAACTTGTGTGCGATTTGGCGGAAGTAGTTGAGCACGGCAAAGTCGGCCTGGCTGATCCAGGGCAGCTTGGGCTGGCAGGTGGGACGCATGGTGGTGTAGCACGTGCCGTGCTTGTTGTATTCGTGCTCGAGGAAGCTAGGGGCGTCGCCGTTAAGGTCCTTGAAGTACTTGTCATAGTAAGCCTTGAGTGCCGGGTCGTACTTGGCCATCACATCAACGATCTGTGCGCCCGTGTACTCGGGGATACCGCTGACAGACGAGCAAAAAGATGGATACGAGCCATCGCAGTACTGTAAGAGGTGAAGGCAATCGTTGGTGTATGAGCCAAGGAGAAAAGGTGGTGGATCGTATATGAGCCAAAAAAAAAAAAAAAAAAAAAAA